GTCGTCCTGGGTACCCATCCTACATCGTACATCCTACATCCCACATCCCACATTCTACACTCCACATGATATTCACTTTGAGATATTTTCGTTTCAATTTCAATTGCAAGTCACTTGGAGAGATTAAGTGGGGTAAGGTGACCTCCCGATGCTGCATCCTGGATCCTGATGGCCATAAATGCGTTGTGGTTGATAGGTTCTTGCCGCACGGGGGCCAGAACTGGAGCTGGGCCAGGCCAGGCCGGGCCAGGCTGGGCTGGCTGTGAAGCAACAGCAGCCATGTCAGCTGTTGGCCAGCAGCTGGATTCGGTTCTCGAATGCATTTCGTACATGATAATGATGTTGGTTCTTGTTGGGCTTTGTTGCTGTTCTTGTTGCATGCGTTGCATTTGCAAGCGAGGGGAGGGGGAGGGGGGTGGGGGCCCGGATAGGCCGTGAGCCTGTCTCGATGCCTTCTGCTGTGGCTTGTCGTGGTGTGGTTTATGGCAACATCTTGTCCAATTTATTACCACTTTCATTTGGTAGCATAATAGGCCATGCACACACACACACACACACACACACAAAAGCACTTGCGGCTGGCAACTGCTGCACAAGCAAAGTCGTATGCATATATCTATAGCACGTAGCACTCAAAAATACTCAAACATTGAAAATTGGAGTTCTCGTTCTCGTTCTCGGTCTCTCTGTCTGTCGTCTCGTTTCTGCTTCATCAGTTACATGCTCTGAATAATTCAAGCGTTTTCGGATTCCCCCAAAGTAGGCCTTTGTCAAAAAAAGCAAATGTTGTTTTTTTCTAACCAGTCATCGCTCATATCCCTCGCTGGAATGGATAAAGGCGCTTATATGTACTCGAATTTGCCTCTCAAAAGTAATTAAAGTATTTTTTGTAAATCATATTGGCTTCTCTTTATACATTTTTGTTTGCAATAAATGTGTGTTTTTAGGAGAGCAGCGATTGCAGGGTATGTTGGATCCACGGAATTAATTGTCTTCGGAAAGCAGAAGGAAGAGTTTCCAAATATACATCATATATACATTCCCGATGTACCCATTACTTTCTCTATGAACACCTGAAGCTGCTAAAGAGCTTCAGCTACCCCCCCAAATATGATTCTTTTACAATCTAAAGAACACAGTGCTATTTTCTCCCGAAACCCAGAAAAATATATTACACTAGAAGGGAATCGAAAAGTCGGGATATCCAGGCAAATTGTTTTTTTTTTAGATTATTTTAAAGCGTTCCATTCGCAGCCTTCTTTCGCATCCCCCTCTGTGTCCAGTCCATTAACTCCTGATTGTTGCACAACTATCGCATAATTATTGCATATTATTACCAGGCCTATTAGCATATTTCAGCAAGGATAGTGGCCGTCCCGTGCCACGCTCAACAGGCAGCTGCCCCATCATGTATTACGTATACGCAATGCTTGACGCGAGCCATTTCTGGTGCATATCCCCAGGCGCAGTTAGCGGAAGAAAAAAAGAGAGGGACAGAAAAGTTTACTGTCAGTTTGGCGGCTGTTAAAAAACAGAACTCAAGTGTTGAATGCACAGCCACACCATGCCACTAGTTTTAGCTCCCCCTGGCATATCCTCGCCGTGTTTGTGTGGGTCTCTTTTGAGGCCTTTCAACAGCAGCGACAGCAACACTCGAGGGCGGATAGTGTGGCAGGGGCGTAGGCGCTTTTTAATTGCACTGGAAACAAAATGCTAAACACTTGTTGGCTGCCGCCTGGCTGCCTTCCAGCTAGTTGCTGCTGCTGTTGCTGCTGATGTGGCATGCCTCCTATGCCTCCTCCCGGTCGAGGTGTCGTCAAAGCTCTTTTAACATAGCCCAATCCGTGCAGTGTCGTGTCATGCCCGTCAGCAGCAGCTGCTGTGCCATTTGCTGTTGATGTTGCAATGGCAGTGCCAGCCCCAGTCGCCGATGCTGTTGCTGTTGCAGTGGCAACTGCTTTGATTGTGTGCCATAACTGAAGGCAGTTTCTATGTGGCGCTTCCTTTGGTGTTGTTTCTCCTATTCCCTTCGAGTGTCTGAAGTTCTGCTTTGATCGCATTGAAACATTCTGCGACAGTTTTAGGATTGTAATGGACTCCCAGGGAGGCATTGGCAGAAGAAGTGAATGGAATTATTCTTTGATCTTTTCACTTGGCCACAATTTTCGATTGATCTCTAAGTCAGGCATTCGATAATGATTTTTGGATGATAAACGGCTCATTAAATTACCCCTTTCGATCAGATAGTGCTATTTAATTTCAATTGCACTTGTTCCCCCTCCAATATATTCGATTTATTGAGCGCTTCATTAGCCGCGAACCATGTTTAATTAACGAGCACAATGGAGGAGTGTGTCACTGACGTTGGCGTTGACTGGGTCGGGTTGGAGGGTGAAATTTCCGACTCTCTGGTGACATTTGAAAAGTTTAAAATAATATAATTTTCAGCGCTATAGCTATATAGCTGTGTATATATGGCAAACTAACAAGTTCGACTGTCGGGAAGCCCTGCCTGGGGATGGCTGGGGACGACTGTGGGGCAGCAGCTAGACGGGGTTTGTCTTAGCCAACTTTCCAACCCGAAAGAAGGAAAACTTTTGCGCTGCACTGTTGCAATGGACCTGGACACCCACACACACATACATCTCTATTGTAAGATGTGTGTATGTGTGTATGTGTGTATGTAGGTGGGTATGTGCGAGCATAGGAAAGTTTTCTTGGCGCTGGGCCGGGGGAAAACGCAGCGTTTTCCGGGGAAACCAGGCAGCATCGGCGTAGTCTTTGGGGAAATTAAACATTTTCTATTTGAAAACTTTGCTCGTGTGTCTTTTGCGAATTCTGGTGCTGCTGATGCTGCTGCTGCTGCTGCTGGAGCAACAGTTGCCCCTCCTTTCGGGTCACACTTTCGCATTACATTAGATGCCTTTGTTCCTGCAACAATTGCGGAAGTCATAATTTTTCCTAATTTTTTTCCTTGTGCCAACTTTTGGGTCGTCGGTTCCTGTGACAAATTCAGCAGCAAATTGCTGGCAGATTTCCGACACCAACCGAAAAACTTTACTGCGAAAGTTCACGCTCAGGCTCTGGCTACAGAAGGGGTGGCACGGAGGCAAGGCGCCACGTCGGCACGGTGGCAGGGATCTAAATGTCAAGCGGGTTACTGTCATAGGTGTTGCATATTTAATGCGCCGCCCCCGGTGGCAACACCAGCAGTGCTGCAACAGCAACAGCAACAGCAGCAAAAACAACATCTATAGGAACAATTCAGCGATTGAGGCAAGTGCCCCCCAAACGCAAAGTGCATGCAAATATTTTTGTCAACGATTGTTTTGCTCCCGGAATGAGGAGCTTTGACTGCAGTTGAAAGTGCAGCAGAGAGAGCGAGAGAGGCTGTTGGGGACCTGGGTCAGGGGTCAGGGACAGGCACAAGGACAGAGCCCAGTTGTTGTCAACTGTTTGAGTAATTGTCGTTGGTGTGAAATTTGGCAACGCTGACACAGAGCCGGAAAAGGATTTGCTGGGTTATGTATGGTCCAAACTCTGATTGAGATGAAGGAGCAGCTGGATCGAGCTCTGAATCTAAACGGCCATCGATGGATATATATGGCTATTTCCGCTATGACGCGGCCCCCAAACGTTGCCAAATTTCACTAATCACTGTGGATGGGAAATTTAACATTACGCTCGACATTTACTTTCAAATGGGATTGAAACGTTGCCAAATTCCCATTAAATGGAAATTAATTAAACTACCATCTATATTCATGTGCAGGAATATACAGTTTCGAGTCTTCTCAAGCCGATAGCAGTATCTTTTTGCCTGACTTTTCACGAAATAAATCCATTAAAACGTGTTACCAAAAAAAAAGAAATTGGAGTGCTGGAAAACTACGAAAAAACCCCCATAGCTGATGGAAAAAATACTCATTTTCAGTGGGCAAACACGATTCATAGCGTATAAAAACCAAAAAAAAAAAAAAAAAAAAAAAATTGATTAAAAAAAAGCCGAAAATAATTTGCACATTGCCGAAATTGAAATGCAGTGAGAGTGAATCCGAATCGAGGGCGGGCATGGGGCTTGCATCTGCTGGGGCATTATCAAATAATTCAGTTGTAATCTATTTTAATCTGGCAGACATCCCTCAACAAAATGTTTGCTTGTTTGTTAACCCATTGGCAATCGCGGGATCCAATCTATTTATTTCGCCGTTTTGCTAAACATTTCCGAGATTTAAATGCGATGCGGATTCAGGACAAATCAAATATTTACATACACCCAGGCACTGTGACTATCTGATGGAATGATGGAAATGTCCAGCTATATTTATGTCACAGGATTTTTTCCACCAAACCAAACGAGAAATATACGAATGATTTTAGCGGCTTAGTGTAATGGCTGCCGACCATCGGGTCTTAGAGCAACGAATCTGTTGCGGTGGCATAAATTATACAATTTGATTTGGCAATATACATAGATTAACAAGTTCATGAAACGGAATATGCACATATGTACTGAACTACAGAGCAAATGGAAATAAACAAACTTTATCTGATAGTTGTTTTTTCGGTCAGCTCAATTTCAGCTGGCAGACACTCAATAATCGGCTTTTGAATATGTTTCAAGTAACACTATCTTCAAAGCCTTCGAGTTGGAACCAATCAAGAGTTTTGTGTACAAAGCATAAAACAAATGTGTTCTTATTGAAGACACTGACACTGACCCTGACATTCCCTGATATTAGTAGCTTTAACTTCCTTCCTACCATAACTCCATATGATGAATGACCCTAGAGATAAGGCAAGCAAATAAGTACAAAATTCTTCGAGCTTTAAGCTAGTAAATTCCACAAAATTGCCATAAAAGAAGGGCATTTTTTAATGAAAATTCATTTGGTGAAAATGTGCCGTTTACTACTCCTTTTGGCAGCACTGCCCGTGACTGTACTTAGTCGGCAGTACGCTCCTCGCCTGATTGGTGGCACTACCGTGGAGATTCAGGATGCTCCTTGGCAAGCGTCGATCGTGATCAAAAATTAACCCCTATGCAGCGGAGCCATCATCATGGAGAACCTCATTCTGACCAGCGGCTGGTGTGTCCACAGGGTCCCCACCTCCCAGCTGAGAGTGCGCGTAGGCACCAGCTCCCGGAGCACTGGAGGATCCCTGATCGCCGTCTGTAAGGTCCACATCCACCCGCACTACGCTTTGACCCGCTACGACAATGACCTGGCTCTGCTGTACCTCTGTGAGAATGTGACCCTAACCGATAATAGGGTTCAGGTGGTACCACTGGCCTCGGAAACTCCCAATGACAGTGCGGAGGGCATCGTCTCCGGCTGGGGCTACACCTCGTCGAGCAGCTTGTGCCTCTTGTGGAGCAAAATGATCTCGATTCTTGGTCGGGTAAGATTGTTCTGGATAGATTGCCTTACACCCAGATCGCAGCAGCTGCAGCAGGCCAACGTGAAAATCCTCAACTGGCAGCAGTGTGCAGCGGATCGTTCGATCTTTGGACAGTTCAGCCCCATCCAAGGCCTCTCCGAGCTGACCCTCTGCACCATTGGGGTTGCGGGCACTGGCACGGACACGGGCGCCTGCTACTTCGACGAGGGCGCTCCTCTGGTAGTAAATGGCTTCCTGGTCGGCATTCTGGGGACGGTAGGCTGTGCCGGGAAGCCCGATGTCTATGCTAATCTGGCGCAGCACAAGAGTTGGCTAAAGGAGAACACCAAATAGCGGGTGGAGAAGTGGCTGCCCGTGGCTGCTCTTGCCAAATGTGTTTCCCATGTGTTTCTTTTGGCGAGTGCAACCGCAGTCCTGGGGCGCCACTCAGCCCAGGACTACGGCCGAGTCCATGCAAATGTGTCTCCGCAATGACCGCTGGACAGTTGCATTATTCATTGTGGTTTCAACAAAGGGAAAAAAGTTCTAAAGGGAATGTTAATGGATGCTTTCGAAGCCTAAAGTACCCCTGTTTTAGTCACTCAAACATACCACATTACATATCTGTAAAGTTTAGAAACACTATCTATAAATCTTTGCATCTATATCTCATAAATAAGCTACCCCAAAACTAAAACTTCATACAGCACTTTAGCCAGAGATCGTAGGACACACGGACAAGGTTCTGGAGCGACTAATCTAGTGCATACCCACTACTCCGGACGATACCCTCCACAAAAACCCGATCAAATTGCCTGTAGCCATGTACTTAACTTAATTAAAGTTTATTTTTTGTGCTCTGCCCCAAAAAAAGCAAAAGGGCCAAAGACAAATGGGAGGAGGTGGCGGCAAGGCCATGATGAAGAGACTCGTAAGGTTGACACCATTTATAAGCTGCAGAAGCTGTGGCAAGTGCAACCGCGACAGGTAGAAGGCTTCACTCCTGCCACAAAATCAAGATCTGGGGACACGGGATTTGCTTGGGATGCAGGCAGCCAGCAGCCAGCAGCCAGTAGCAGGCAGCCGGCAGCCGGCAGGAAAGGAAAACACTTTTAGTGGAAATTGAAAAGTTCTCTCTTTCTCCCTGTTTAGACAAATATCTCCGAGTGCTGGGCAGCTGGTCCTCCTTTTGGTGCTGTTGCTGCTGCCTCAAGGACATCGACACGAAAGCCGTTTTGACCATTTATCAGAATGTTATTGGCCAAAAACAAAAAAGGGGAAAGAGGGGAACAGAGGGGAACAGAGAACAGAGGAAAAGCCAAGGAAAGCACAGCCAGCAGAACGAAGACAACTGCAATAAAATGCAATGTTTCTATTACAGCGATTTACGTGCCACAGAGAGACACACAGAGGCACAGTGATGACATGGCCATCAACGAACAGGGCTATTCCTGAACGCCAGACATTCCCATAGAGAATGAAACTAGGTCCCGATTGGAGTACTGTATCATAGGGGATTTCCAATGAACAATACAAGTTTCGGCCTTTTCTCGATTCAGATTGGGTTCGCCACGCAGTTACTGGCCGTCCATCTTTTTGATCCTTCACTGTACTTCAGATCCTGCTGTCCGTTTTCTCAACTCTACCCAATGTAGGGGTACCATTTCTCCGCCTCATGAGCAACATTTTTATGGCTTCTTCGGAAAGGCGAGTTCTGTGCAAAGTTTCCCTGGAATGATGTCCCTTTCGCAATGACTTTCCGTAGTACGTATGTTCGCTGGTGTGGTGTTGTTTGGGTTGTTTGTTAACTAGCGGCAACTAGAAGATAAGCAGCCCCCAAATGTTTCTCTTGTCGTTGGTCAAAAGCATTTCCACTCCTGCTCCTCTGCTCCTCTACTCCTCTACTCCTCTGCCTTTCTGGCCATTTTAATTGCTGTTGAACTTTGTGTTTGGCAATTTCCCCGACAACAAAAACAGAAATAAAACAGAAGCGAACCCATTTCAGCAATTGCAGCAACAACAGGAGCTTGCAACAAATCGAAGCAATATATTTGATTTAACTTGTTTGAACAGAACATATTGTAGTTCTGTTGCCTTTTGTTTGTTCGGTTTTCTTTTTGTTGACGCGCTTTTAAAACTATTTGGGGAATTGCGGAGATTTGTGGCAGCATGCGGAATTATTATGGCAATCATGCCACAATTCATGGCAAGTCAAGTGGGGACTTCCATCCATTGTTGGGAATTGATTTGATTTTTTCCTCAAAATTTATTCTAACGAAAGTCCAAATTAGTTGACATAATAGCAGTAATTTAATTTTTTTTTTAAATATCCTTTGTGCTCATTGTCCGGTGGCAATTAATTATTTAACATTTTTTTATAGCTGGCTTTTTTTTTGTATTTTTGTATTCTCTTAATACATCGTATTATTCGTATGTTAACCAAATTTTCATTTTCCAATTAAGCTTAATATGTTTTTAATTCATGCACTAGCTTATTTAATTGAATTTGTTATGCAAAGCGATTTGCTTTTCTTGCTACCGCTCTCTCTCTCTCTCTCTCTCTCTCTCTTTTTCTGTAGCATTTTTACCATTTCAGAGGATTTGATGATTTCGCCCAGAGGTTTGCAACGGACAGAAGGAGGAATATACTGTGTAGATTATTCCTGTTCAGCATCCATCTGTTTGCGTGATTCGACCCGCCTGCCCTTGTATTTTGGTTGGACTCCATTCTCGACCCGAACCCGTCTTGCATTGATCAACTGACTCTTGGTCACATCTAAAGCTGTGTTTTCGCTATTGTTTTGCCCCACAATAAACTAAACATCATCGAATTGTCATTAAATAGATCGCAGACTACGCTGCTGAAAAAGCTCAGCAGCTGAGCACTCAGTTTTCATAAGCCGTTTTCAAGGGTATCTCGTATGCCGCCATCCCCTTTATTTCCTGTTCTGTTTTTCCGACAATTAAATGTTGCGCTTCAATCGACAGGACAGCGAAAGAGAGTGTGAGAAATGGGGGATGGGAGGGGGAGAGCAGCAAAAACATTTAAATTAGGATTAGTTCCATATGTGCGAGAGCTTTTAAATCAAAACGGGCCCAAATAGAGAATGAGGGAGCGGGCGGGCGCCCCGGGTGGGGGACCGTTTTTGGCCATTTGGCATATTTTTCTTTACGCCGCGGGAATATTGATTCGGTTCTGGAGCTACACACACACACACACGCACACGCACACGCACATGAATTAATGTCCTAACAACATTTGTAACTGAGCATTTGTCCTGCACACTCCCCTGGACGGACATTAGGAGACATTCAAACAGAGAGCACGGGCACGTCGACATCGGCGCCGGCGAGCGCATTTTCAAATTATATTATTTTTGAATGGCTTTTTAGAAATTAATAATTACACATGACAGTTATGTGTGTGTGTGTGTGTGTGTGCGGGGGGGTGGTGGGGACGTGTACGTGGCATTTAATTTTTATTTTATGCAACTGTCAGCGAGTGGCGGGGTTAACGGCTTTAATAGCTGCACAAATGAAAATGCATACTGCCAATGGAGGAGTAAAACAGAAACGGTAGAGTAGAAGGCAATGCAGGGCAAGCCAGGGAAAATGTAAGGAAAAACTGTGCCTAATCTGGCTATCTACGATTTCTTTCAAAAGTGAAAGAAACTGCAGAATAAACTATACTTCATTATTGAACAGAAGAATATTAACCGCTGGTTGGATCCATGGTTAAACTATCTGGAGTACAGGGACACTTGTAGAGCGAATGAAGAATATCTTCCTATAGATTTTGCTATGGATACAGAGGAAGAGCAATCAGTCGTTCGCAAAGACTGCAGTACTGCTTGCACCTTGCTTTTGTGTTACCTGTTTCTAGTCTTCTTCCTCTCTCAGCCACATTTCCTATTGCTTTTTTCCCCAGGATAATTTATGAACCGAAATTGCGACCATTGAGCAGCATTTGCCATACATTTTCCAGCGTTTTCCACCATTGTTGTATCGCATGTGGTGCGGCGACAACTCTTTCGGACAGGCTACATCTGTGGGCTCTATTTTTTTGGGGGCTCTCCGCTCTGCTTCGGGCATCCCACATCACATTTGTATCTTCCAATCCTTTATTTTCCGCATTTCTTTATTGGGGATTTTCTTTTGGCGCTTGGGTCCCCATACGCAGGCCGTCCGCCAAAATATTTGGCCCGTTTTCTCTCCGGAGTTCCTCGGAGTTCTCGGGAGGCGACACCAACACCGACTCTGACTGGGACTGGGACTGAAACTGGGACTGGAGCTGCGACTCTGAATACTTGGTCTCCCATTATTAATTGCTAACGTGCGCTGATTTCTGTGCTACACTTTTTTCCTGCTCTCTTTGTGTATTTTCTTTGTTGCTTTTGTTTGTGTCTCTCTGTTATTTGTTGCCGGTCTGCCTTTCTGCCACTGTTCAATGCCATTTAACCCTTTCGCTGCTCCCTGCTCCCTGCTCCATGCTCCCCGTTTGGTGTTTTCGTTTTCCCTGCTCACTGTTTTTCTTTTCCCTGTGCCCTCATCCGAGATTCCCTGTTTGCTGTCCAATGGGCTCAGCAGTGACATTCATGCACCGGCGAGCAGAGCGTCACAGGGGATCGGGATCGGGATCCCCCGAAAGGCAATAAATCAATGCATGCTCTCTTTGTGTGAGTCCTATCCTATTAAAGACTATCTGTCTAGCTGCCGCTCCATTTCCCCATCTCCCAGGATGCTCCCTGTTAAATTTAATGCCTTACATATTCCTTTCACCAGGTATATTTGAAACGAAAGATAGGGCGAATGCCTTACCTTGGCACTTGTCTGCCCTTGTTCATAGTTGCCTAATGAGGAAACCATATCCATATATAGTTGCTTAATTAATTGTCGATTTTGCGCTGCATTTAGCAATTATATGGTCCATACGTCGATTCACTTTGACGTTGATTAGCTTTTGCACAATCGATGGTATGTCTATGACTATTTCAAGACAAATGCACTTCAATTTAACACTTTTCCACCGCCAAAGAGTGCGACTGCAACGAAATAGTAGGCAACTGCAACTTGGTTATTTACAGCGGTTTTAACATCCTCCAAGGAGAGAGAACTGGGGAACCAACAATGGACCATCTCCAAAATGTGTATATTGAAAAAAACTGAAAGCTAATACATGCAAAAACACACAAATTATGTTACACGATAGGTTTTTGACGGCCCGCATTTGGACTGTCGGTATCGGTACTTTTGAACCTTCAAATGCACAGAAAATCATGTAAAAATCGACGGTTACATGGTTACATGGATTACGGTGGAAAACGTATCGTATAACATCAGCTGATGAGAGACAGGGGGACCAACAGGCAGAGGGGAGGGTCAAACAGTAAGAGAAGGTCTTTTCCTGCTGCCATAAATCTGCACTGGATGGCAGGGACGGGGAAGGGGATCGGCGGCAGAGAGAGAGAGAGAGGGAAAAGAGAAGGGTTGTAGGGCTGTTGGGCCGTTGGGCTGTTGGGCCGTAGGGTAAGTGGTGTAGGGTTGCCTTACAAGTTTCCATGACATTCGAATGCATGTATGAAGTGGCAGCAAGTGTGTATCGTGCATGAATGTGCATGCATTACATTGTCTGGCGGCCTTTTAATTGCTGTTGCCGTTGCAGTGGCACATTCTCTCGGCTCTGCTCTGCTCTGCTCTGGT